ATGGTCCCACCAGGCAGCAGGAAGAGCTGCTGGGGGTGTCCCCTGTGGGTGGGTTGTTGGATCACCCACTTGAGTGGTGACAAGATGTTGGTGCCACCCACGTCAGCCCAGAGCCTCTTGATGCTCTGGCAGGTGATGGCCAAGCTCTCCTGCCCAGAGGAGGAGCAGGATGGTCAGGCTGCACACACCAGGACCCTCCCAGCCCCCAGGGAACGTGGCTGCACCTTCACCCACCTCACAGTAAGTCTGGCTGGAAGGAAAGAGGGTCTTGAAGGTGGATCCAAACCCAACGATGTTGAAGAGACACGCTGGCATCAGGCTCTTCAGAATGACCAACAGAGCATCCTGGGGGTGGAAAGCAAGGAGAGACACATCAGCCAGGCCAGGCCCCTCACCAGTTACCCCAGTAAAAGCTCTTCCCAGCCCCATCTCTACCATCACACCTTCTCCCACCTGCATTTTGCTGCCTGCATTTGACAATCAAACCTCTTCTTTCACCCCATCCCCCTCCTTCCAAAAACCCTGCACGACATTTGGGTCCCAGAGCAGGGAGGAAAAAATGGGGAACCTTCCAAAAAAAAAACAACAACAAAACCCTGAACAAATCTTTCTGTTTGTTTGAAAGTGATTCCATTTGGTGCTTGCACTGGGGAGCTGCAGCCTGGAGCTGGTGGGTGAGAAGCAGAGTGTGAAATGGAGGAGTGTGACACGCAACACATTTCAATGTCCAAACCTGCAGAAAATAAACAAACAGCTTCGAGTTACACAGAAGGAGAAGCCTCCCCCATCCCCAGTTCTCTTGTCTTCGTAGCTGGCACCAATTAAAATAACTGGGAGAGACAGTTTTCAGCTATTTTCTTCCCCAGAGGGGGTTATCTAACTTGTCTATTCCTGGGCTTTACATAAGGGCAGAGCAATTGAAATCGGCTCAGACGCAGAATCAGAGATTCATGGGATGGTTTGGGTTGGAAGGGACCTTAAAGATCATTCAGATCCAACCCCCTGCATGGGCAGGGACACCTCCCACCAGCCCAGGCTGCTCCAAGCCCCATCCAACCTGCCCTTCAACACTGCCAGGGATGGGGCAGCCACAGCTTCCCTGGGCAACCTGGCCCAGGCTCTCACCACCCTCACACCAAAGAATTCCCTCCTCATGTCCAACCTCAATCTCCCTCTTTCGGTTTCAATCCATCCCCCTCATCCCATCCCTCCCTGCCCTTGTCCCAAGCCCCTCCCCAGCTTTCCTGGAGCCCCTTCAGGCACTGGAAGCTGCTCTAAGGTCTCCCTGGAGCCTTCTCTTCTCCAGGCTCAACACCCCAACTCTCCCAGCCTGTCCCAGAGCTGCTCCAGCCCTCCCAGCATCTCCGTGGTCTTGTGGACAACTCCAGGATGGAGCTTGTGTTAACAGCAACTGGGCTACCTAAGGGGCATGGGCTCCTTGCCAGGGCAGCAGGAGCAATGAGGGTGACAGGAAAGGGAGGCCAAGTGCCCAGGAGTGACTTGGTTCTTTCTCAGGAATTCATTTGGTGCTTTCTCAGGAGGGACTTGGTCCTTTCTGTGTACCTGCTGATCCAGGCATCCTGCTGCCAGCCTGCCTAGGGCAGCAGAAACCCTGGAGCCAGCCCTGAGAGAGGAGCTGCCAAGGTCAAGGCTGCAGGAGCTGCCTCCCTGCTGTGTCACACTCAGTGGCAAAGAATCAAGTCAATGCAGAGAACTGGCCTGGGATCAATGGGGTCCAGGAGCTCAGCCTGGTTCCCCACCCCTGCCAGACCCAGCAACAAGAGCAGAAAACAGCTCTGCAGCTCAGCAGGGTGGTGTAGGAGCCCAGGGCTGCCCTTTGTCAGGCTCCAGGGGCTGCAAACCAAGCTGTCAGCTCCAACCTACGGGAGGATATTTATACCCCTGCTTCCCAGATGGCTCCTGGGATGGTGGCTCTTCCAGATCTCAGAGCTGACATCCCATCTCTGAGCTGACTGCAAGGGGAGGGGAAAAAAGGACAGATTTCCAAATATTTCTGTTCAAGCCATTCCCCAAGTGGGCAGCCCATGCCCTGCTTGCTGCTCCAGCCAGCAGCCAGATTTCTTGCTTCTCATGGTAACTATTGATCTGGATCTTCCTGCACTCAATATCTATCCAAGCAGCTCCATAAGGGGAGACCTTTGCTTCCAGAGAAGACAATTCCCAGTTATGAGCCTTGTTTTGCCAGCAAATGTTGTCACCCTCCCAGGCCTGGTTCTTCTCTCACATCTCTCCACTGAAATCTTCAATCTCATAGAATGGTTTGGGTTGGAAGGGACCTTCAAGGTCATCCAGGTATCTCCTTCTCAAGTTGTTTTCCAGAAGGAGGAGAGACTTTTCCCTGTTTTTCCAGGGAATCCCAGTTCAGGAGCTGTCCCTGCAGGAAGGGTCCCCAGCCCCAAGGGACATCCCAGCCCCTTTGGAGGCTGCAGAGCTGCCCAACCCAGCAAAGCACCAATCTGGCCTGGGACAGGGAGGATTCCTGGTTCCCAGGCTCCAAAATGTGCTGAGGGAATGGGAATTCTCCAGGAATCAGAGAGATCCCAGCCATTTGGTGGATGCAGGGGCAGGGGACAGCCTCCCTACCCATGGGGACCCATTGCAGCCCTTCTCAGGCTCCCTGCATCCCAGTCCCTGCTGCTGGAGGTGACCATGCTCCTCATCCCAGCTCCTGCTGCTGCAGGTGACTGTCCTTCAGCAGTTTCCATGGAAACTGGAGAGAACTGGATGAGGAGCTGGGCTGGGAGATGCTCCCAGCTGCTCACCCTGGGTGCTGAGTCCTGCAGAAGGGGGTGCAGCCCTTTCCAGGGGAGCATTTGGGTCCAACTTGTGGTAGGACAAGGTGTGAGCAGGACACCTGGGGACACACCTGCTCAGTGAATCTCTCCAGCACCCAAATGCTCCCCCCAGGTGGAGCCCAGCTCTGCAATTCCCTGTGTCCTCAGGGAAGATGCACAGGGCAGGACACATCTAGAACCTCCTCCCAGGAGGCAGAGCTGCCTCCAAAGCACATGAAGCAGGAAAAATGATCATTAGTTACTGGAGTGATTTCCCCTTTGATGGACAGAGAGGTCCCCAGGCACAGGGGGACATGAGAGCAGGAACCTCTCCAGATCCTTCAGGCTCAAAGCCAAGCCTGGCTCTCCTGGGGCAACCTGCATCTGGGAGAGGGTCATACCTGACCAGGGAACCTCAGTCCCACCAAATACCATGAGAAAGCCTTTCCAGAACCCTGTTTCCTTTATCCAGAGGTCTCAGCACACCTCTCAGAATCCTCCTGTTTGTGTTTGGAAAAGGGATGCACCGTGTTCAAGAGGTTTTTTGGGTGCACACAGGTGCCCATCAGCAAAATGTCTCCTAATTCATGGTCAGCACATTGTCCTCCAAGATCCCCAGAGGTTTCCCACCAGGCAGCAACTTCCCCAAGCCCTCCTGGAGACAGGGAGGGCTGGAGAAGGGAGGCAGGAGACAAACAAGGCAGCAAAGAGGGGGAAAGAAAAGACCTTTGCACTTGATGTGCTGATGGGAAGAAGAGGAACAGAACGAGGGAGGAGTCAGCTTCTCTGCAGGTCCCTAACAAGCCCCATGGTTGAGATGACAAGACCTACAGCACAAAATTACCCCCCATCCCCTCCTAATGAGCACTCATCAGCACTCAGCAACCCCCACTGCTCTCTGATACCCATCCCTGGTTGGCAGGAGGCTCGTGTGGTACCTTGACCCGGGTGATGTTCACACCACTCATGCTCCTGCTGAGATCCACCAGGAAGATGAACTCCCCTTGGGCTTTCTGGAGGTCTGGCTGGATGGTCCTCAAGTCAGGGCAGAAGTTGAGCATGACAACAGGGTGGTGGGGGATGTCCTTGCTCAGCCTCTTCCTGATGATTTCTGTCTGCAGAGACACGGGGGGAGCTCGAGGGGCTGATGGTTCTGCCCTTTTTCACTTGGAGGGGAATCAGAGCAGGAATCAGAGCAGGGCTGGGAGCCCAAAGCTCATAGAATCATGGAATGGTTTGGGTTGGAAGGGACCTTAAAGACCATCCAGTCCCACCCCCTGCATGGGCAGGGACACCTCCCACCAGCCCAGGCTGCTCCAAGCCCCATCCAACCTGCCCTTCAACACTGCCAGGGATGGGGCAGCCACAGCTTCCCTGGGCAACCTGGGCCAGGCTCTCACCACCCTCACACCAAGGAATTCCCTCCTCATGTCCAACCTCAATCTCCCTCTTCCAGTTTTAATCCATTCCCCCTCATCCCATCCCTCCCTGCCCTTGTCCCAAGTCCCTCCCCAGCTTTCCTGGAGCCCCTTCAGGCACTGGAAGCTGCTCTAAGGTCTCCCTGGAGCCTTCTCTTCTCCAGGCTGAACACCCCAACTCTCCCAGCCTGGCTCCAGAGCTGCTCCAGCCCTCCCAGCATCTCTGTGGCCTCCCCTGGACTTTCCCCAGGAGCTCCTTGTCCTTCATGTGTTGGGGACCCCAGAACTGGACACAGCTCCCCAGGTGGGTGCCACATGACATCATTTTGGTCACCATCTTTCCCAGCGTGGATGTTTATCACAGCATCCTTGCTGCCTCTGTCCAAGGACCAAATCGTGGCCCTGGACCTACCAGCAGAACCCCTTGGGGACCCATAAAACCCCCAGAGGATCAAGATGAGCCCACAACATGGAATTCCCACTTCCTTCAGAGGGAATGCCCCAGGCAACCCTGCAACAAACAGCCTGGGAGCTGCTGCTGCAGATCAGCCAGGAAACCAACATCTCACCCACCCCTTCTCCTCTCCCTTCCCCTATTATCCAATGACACTAAATTCACCAGATCTTCTCCACCAGGAGTTGATTCCAGGCTACATTTGCCCCCTCCACCCTGTGAGCATCCCAGGCTTTTGCATAACAAACAGAGGGATGAGAATGAATTCCCATTTCCTGCTG